ATGCTTCGATTTCTACACGCAACGTACAGCCACGTTCTTCCTGCTGCTCAATCGTCTCTTGCAGCTGGCGACAAACATCTTTCGCAGCCAAGAACTCGCCCTCAAACTTCTTACAAGTCTGTAGCTCTAGCTGCACTTCTTGCTCTCGACATTGCAACGAAGAATGAGCTTCTTGTTGCTCTCGAAGTGTAACGAGAACACGTTCGCTCTCTTCTCTCAGCTGTTGACTCTCTTGTCGTGCAGTCTGGAGACTCTCATTGAGCTGCTGCTTCTCCTCTTCCCACACTCTTGACGCGTGTTGAGCTCGTTCTGCTTCTTGTCGCCGCTGAGTCTGTTCGTCTGTAAGTCGCGCTTCGAGCTGGAACTTGGTCTCGGCCTGTTCGTGGATAAACCGAAGCAGCGTCGTCTTCTCACACGCTGCGGTCTGTACGTCGCCTGAAAGTTGCGCCATCTTCTCGTCCAGAGCAACGCGCTCCTTCTCCAATGTAGCCATCCACGACTCTCGCATTGTTCGAGCGTCTTCAAGTTCTTCTTCCCGCTTCTGCGAGTCCTCAAGCTGCGTGCGTAGAGTCGACACGACTTTCCGCTCTTGAGCGAGGTGCAGAGCTAGCGCTTCATTGTGATCTTGTAGCTTGGAGATCTCAAATAGAAGACCCGTGTGGAGACAGCCGTTAAGTGCATACGACTCGACTCGGGTGTCTAACGCTCGTTGGACGATGGAGAGTTTGTCTCGAGCTTCTTCTCGTTCTAGTTGGCTCTGTTGTAAGGCCTCGTCCTTCTTCTTTAGCGACGTTTCTAACGTCCGTAGACGACAATTGAGCTCGAGATTGCACTGAACTAACGACTGGCCCTTAGTGCCCATGAAGAAACGATGCTCGATCTTCTTGGCATAGTCGCGATTGGAGATCGCTTGATGCTCCAGTAGTTTCCGTTCGGACTGGATGCGATCAATCTACGAGGAATATAATGTTAAAGAGGAAAATTAAAAAAAAACTTTTTAGAGAACTTTTTACGAGATGTCGAAGCTTCGAGATCTCTCGCTCTTGCTTGGTATTGAGTTTTAGTACTTTCTTCATCTCACAGCGAAGTTGGTCATTCTGACACCGACCAAAAGGAGCGAGTTTTAGAGAAATAAGAGACGCAGATCGAATAAATATTTTTTCACCTTTTGTCGCACTTTCTCCAGAGTTAGTCGTGTTCGGAAGTATCGCGTCTCGAGAGCTTTCAACTCCTTGTTGAGCGACGCCACGTGACTTGTCGGGGCTGGAATCACACGCCCCGAATCCGCCAGTTCATGCTGATTACCGGGAGCTCGAAGCTCGTTCTCTTCTTGACTTTCCTCTTCTTCTGAAGCCTCTTCACGCTCGCCACTATTGACGTTGCAGCGCCGCCTCTGCTTGCTCACCATATCTCCAACTCACGCAGCTATTTTCAAGCCCACAGCCACCATGACGTTACTTTTTAAGTTTAAAAAAAAAGGTGTTTTATTAGCATCGTCGCACAAACGTGAAGGAAATGTATGCAAAATGCAAAGAAATCAACTACAAGAGGGAAAAATCAAGTTACACAAGTCGAACTCCTGTCTGCCCTTGACTGGCGATTGGCTGTTTATCTGCCTTCGATGCTGACGCCGGTAGCGCGCTTGGTCTTCCTTCCTGGCCTCGCGATCTCCTGCATCCGCTTGGCCAGTCGCGCCTTGCGAGAGTCCGGGTCCGCCTTCTTGGCTTGCACAGCGTTCATGTCGATCTTAGACTGAGGACGCAGCAAGTAGTCGATGTGCAGCTGATCTGGCAGCTCGGCACGCTCTGAGACGTCCGGCTTGACGTCCGCATCAGCTGTGCGGCCGTTGAACACGTTGCCACCGCGCTCGGTCGCTCGCGCTTTGATCTTTGACTTCTTCTGTCTGCGTCTATAGCAGATTCAACATATTAGAAACCACTATACCGTTAGAAACACGTTAGAAACGCACTTACGCGCGCTCTCGACGACGATAAATCTCGTTCTCCGCCTTCTCGGCTTCCAGTTCCGCCAGCTTGGAGAAGTCCAGCGTCTTGTTGAACACCGCGCGACTCCAACGCTCCACCAAACTGCGACACAGCTCCTTGTTCTCCGGCGTCTAGTACGTACACAGCCAACTATTCAATACTCTGCACCAACCACACAAACCTCAGCCATGCTCTACCTCTTGCGGGTGTTTCATCAACACCATAACCACTTTGCCAAGTCCACTACGCTTCAAATGTTCCTTAAACACTGCAAAAAAAAGCACAACAACTATCAGTCTCTACCCCGTTCTTCGATACTTCAACCAACTATCAGCTCACCTGGCATCTTGCTGACCATCTCTAACATCTTGGTGCGCAGTCCGACATTCGGCAACGTCCCGTCGTCCAGCGGTTGGATCCATTTCTTCACAATCTAGTCCAAATCACCCCAAAAAGACCCATTTAACCCTCCAACTAGCCTTTGAAACCCCTCCAAACCCATACCGTGAGCAAGTCAAAATCCAGCAACATTGGCTGGAACTGCAGCTTGCGTAGAATATGCAGCGCGTTGTCCACGAGCTTGATCTTCTCGAGAGCTGGTCGACGCTCCGCGATGCTGGCCAGGTCGTCCGCGTAGGCCTTGTCCATCCGATAGAGCACTTCTTGCGTGACCTGCTCCATCTCCTGCGGCGACAAGTTGAGTTTGGAGCGAGAGCGCCCAGTCTTGAGCGACTTGAGCGTTTGATCGAAGAAATCGTCCTTCTGCTCCTGTGTGGGCTCCTGATCGCCCAATGGCCGCTCGTCTTCGAACTGTTGACGGTCTTGGGCGTATTCGCCCAGCACGTCCGCTAGATCGTCGTCTCGGTCGATGAAATCGTCGTCATCTTTGGTGGCTACGGCCTCGTCTCCAGAGTCATAGTCGTCCCCTTCCTCGCGACGTTTCTCCTCCTTCTTGACGCGTTTAGTGGGTGGAGACGACGGACGTTTAGCAGACTTCTCTTCGTCGTCACTCTCCGAGTCCGAGCCGAACAAGCTGCGTAGTAGTGATATTTTAGCGAAAAAATTAATTATGGAGATAGTACAAGAAGATTGTACCCCGAGGCGTCGGCTGTAGTTGTCGTGGTGGCTGGAGAGACAAGTGAAAGGGGTTACTATTCAACAGGAGAGCGGAGAAGCGAAGAGAGAGACGTACGGCGAGGGATCTGCTCGTCCCCAGAGTCGTCCGAGTCTTCGTCGCCGAACATCTCGTTAATACTGCGTTTCTTGCGCTCATCCTCTGGTGGTGGGGGATATCAAGGACGTAGATTTAGAATACGATGTAGAGAGGAGCGATAAGCGGCGTTTTGACGCGGGAGACGCACCGTCGGAGCTCCCCATAGCGGCGCTGGTGTCGGTTGTCTGCACGATTTCGTCCAAGTGGAAAATAGCTTCTTATTAGCCAATTAGATGCGAGAAATTGCAATTTGCTCGAAAGTTGAAGCATGCCTTTAAAAAAGCTGTTTGAAAATATAGTTAATCTAACTAAATTTTAATAAAACAGTCATGTAGCACGTAGAATACATTGGCATTGTGACGTTTAATACGGTCTACAAAAGACAGCTCTGCAGGCACATGACAGCCTGCATCGCCGTTTAGAAAAAGAAAAAAAATAGAACAGCTAGTATCGCTTCTTGTCGCATTTTACATGATCACGCAGGGTGCACAGCACTGCGCATTGGCCGCATTCTCTTCCTCCGCTGTCTTAACCCCAGTCGCTGTCGCCACTGTAGACCGCGTGACTTGCTGGTTGGTATTCACCATTGGATACTTCGCTCCTGTCGATGCATTAGTATTTGCACTCGGGAGCACAGGATTGACTGCTTCTGCGTGCGAGAATGACGCTCGAGCGATCAAATTGGCGTTCGGGACCACAGGATTCGGAGCGTCAGCGTGGGACAGCGAGAGTCTGGCAATAGCAGCGGCATTTGGGACTACGGGATTCTGTGTCTCGACGTAGGACATTGACAAGGACGAACGGTGACTACCCGAGTCCGACGAGGCATTTCGAGGACGTCGACCGCCATATTCACTAGACGCGTCGCTCTCTGCGTCCATGTGCTCGCTGCGAAGACTGAAAACCTCAGAGGGCGTGCCTTCCGGTCGATATTGCCGTGCTTGGAGTCCTTTAACCCATCGCGCGGCGTCGTCCTGACTGTCAGCTTTGAGAAGATACGACTGCTCGCCGATGGCGATGGAGAACTCGAGATTGTCGCCGTCCGTGGAGTTAAAATCGATCGTCTGTGTCCGCCATAGGTCGATACAAGCTAGCAGCTTCTCACTTTCCCGACTCTATTAGGTTGTTATTGGTTATCGCGGTTAGTATTGCAGCAAGACCTTATGCATTGGCAGCCAATCTACCTTGTAGTAGGTTAGGTAGTGCGTGGTGGCCTCGAAGTAGCGGCGTTGCCATCGATCGTGACGCGACTTCTTGCGTAAATAACCTGGGAATGTGTCCGACACACTGTAACGTTAGTCTCCTGGCTAGATAGAGACGTAGACGGCACTGTAAAGCCGTGTACCCTTGAGCTCCGGGAGATCCATTGCCGCCTGTACTGACGACGTCGAGTGTGAGATAAGGAAATGCCAACAAATCAGGGATTGGTAAAAATGCACACCACATGTACACCAAGTTGCAAGTTGGGCAAAACCTTTCTCTAATTGATGAATGAAAAACCATCACTCTATTATAGACTGAAGTTCATCATGAATCTACATGTATTTGGTATGCGACAGCTAGAAGAAGACAGCAATTCTTGTTTGAGAAAAATCGATCTTTGAATTCGGTGACTTGGCTTCACTTTGACATGTGGTCACTTGGCACCACGCTGTGCTTTGCATACAAAGTGGCAGCAGTTTTGGCCGACAGAAGGCAATTGTCGAAGCTCCAGCCTATTAAAAAGGAGCCAAAGTGGTTCATGCAACGCTAGCGTCGAGGGCCTTTATTGTTGCTTTAAGGCCCCATTAGCGATTCTCTAACGTTGCTCCATTTGCCACCTTTTTTTTTACAGGGAGGGGCATTTCAGATTCAGACCACACCATTTCCTGACACACTACCCGTGTTGTCTCATACAGTATAAGCTTGACGATCCTCATCGAGAGCGTTTGAATAAAATACATGTAATAAAACTCTTCTTTGCAATGCCTAGTGAAAAATGGCGCGGGGGCACTTGCAATTTTGAGAGCGTGTATACACTGTACCATGACATCCGTTCATTAGGAAATCTCCACAATACTATAAAAACAATTCTTATAGAGGTTTTGAGGCAACTCTAATCTTGCTCAAAAATGGGCATTTTGGACCGCTGCTTCGGAGTGAATGCTACGTACAGTATATTTATCTATTATATATTTATCTACCTGTATCTGAAGAATACTAATATACTAGTATTGCTTTAGAAATGAGGTAAGCACTAAAAGACTTTTCACTTCAACAATTAGTGGTGCTGCTTCAGAAGTATTGTACAGACGTTGACACGCCGAAAATCTATCTTGCGTCGAGTTTCTTCAAAATGTCAAGGGCTTCAATGTCACCGATTCAAAACTACCCCATTGAGCCGGTTTCACGACAAGGAAACTCCCAGCATTGGAATCTTCATTCCAGCTTTAAATAATTTAAAGTAAGCTCAATAGCACTTCGAAAAAAAAACGTCTTGCAATAGTGCTTGTGGGATTGGGTACCTTGAAGAACGATGACTTTATTTGCGTCCGTGTCGTAATAGACAGCACCGTAGCCGTTGATTGCTTCCGTGTGAAAGACGCCACCACAACTTTTGACCAGGCTCGATCGATGCCTTCTTTGCCAGTAACAACGACCCATCATCGTTCTTCGATTTGTCCTGTTTGGCGCGAGTCAATTAGCGGCAAAAACTTGCAATTTTTTGTATCAAAGAAATTAAAAAGCTTTCTTTTTATTAATGTAGCATTACTTGCAGCATTCACGGCGGGAGGCAGAGGTGATGGAAACAGCACGTCCACTTGTCGATAAATATTGAAAGCCCCCCGGCCAATCCGTCGCCTTGCCACGAAAATCTTCGAAAAGTTGCTAAGGTCGATTGGTCGTCTGCTTCTCGCGAATCCGCTCCTCGAGTTTGCGGCTGCTGTCCACAATATCCTCAATACTAGCGATGCAGTTCTTGATCTGACCAAAGTAGTGACGCTCAGGCGTCGACGAAAAGTCGGACGCACTGCCCGTCGAGTCCCTGCCTCCTTCCTTGAGAGCCAGGAGATCCGAATCCCCGCGAGAGCCGAGCATGACGCGCTTCATGTTCTGCGAGTTCAGCGACAGGCTGACGGGAATCGTCTTGACCGGCAGCACGGGCGACAGCGGCGCCGACAACGCGCCGTCTCGAATCTCCGCGTCATCAGCCGCAGGGTTGCTGGAGCTCTGGGAGTCTTGACGCTGGATAGTGAGGTTCAGTCGACGGTGCTCTTCTGGACTTGGCTCTTCCTCGTCCGTGAGCGAGTCTTGAGGCTGTTTCTCCGCTGAAGTAAGAATAGGCACATCTTCCTCTTCCATTATCGCTTTGTGGAGGGAACTTCTGCGTGCTACTTCAGATGGAGGTGCCGTTAAACTGGTACTGGGGCGTCTGGAGCTGAGTGCACTGTTGATAACGCGGTCCTCTTCCTCCTTGGGCGCGTACTCACCCACCTGCAGCAGCTTCTTCAAGTGATCCTGGCTGCAAGGCGTCAACGGACGCGTTGAAACCTGCTGCATGTACTCA